TATGCCCTGACACAGTAACTGGAGTCAAAAATAATAACTTTTAGGGGGAAAGGTAGCGGTTATCTGCTGTGTAGAGACCAAATGAAATGAACCCCAGCCTCCTTACAAAGCAGGAAATCGAACTTGAACTGCCTTCAGTTTGCCAGTCAGCATCTTTCGCCATTCAGACTTGAAACAATGGAGTTCACGGCAGCACCAGTGACAAGGGAGATAAAATGGGCTGAAGCTAGCGGGTCAGGGACTTGATGGTCCCATCAGAGACCAAGGCTGGAATGCCTGAAAGTCACTGAAACAGAATCTTGGTTCTGCTTCACCATCTGAGGTCAGAGTGACTGGAACTGTAAGCGTCTTCCAAAAGATACACATCTGGATGGCCATGCCTGGGGACACCCTTTCACCAAGCTGTCTACGGTACACAGGTGACAACTCAGTTCAGGGGAGTCTTTCAGAGATGGCAGGGAACCCCTATAGTCCCTGAGCCTCCAAAGCGTCAGCCAGCACTGCCTTCTTATCTAAAGTGGACTGTGGTTTAATTTCCAGAGTTGCTGAAAATAGCACAACACTTTTGCTTCAGGTACAAAATGCCTGCCACAATCTCACCGGTGTCTAAGTTTCTAAAGTGTGGCCTCAGAAAAGGTATGGATGTCTATGAATGTCACTTTCTCCATCTGAAAAAAATCATGGGATGAGTAACGTTTCCCCCGAGTTGAGGGTGATCAAGTGCTCCCGCGAGCAAGTGTGTCAGCGTGTGAACATACAAAGTGCACCCGATGCACATTTCAGGAGTTCCTACGACAGTTGGCTAACAAGAATCTACCATCAACATAAGCTCCGGGAATGCCATCAGAGCTAGCTTTCATTCCGTCTGTAATTACGCTGTAGCCACCATGCTCTGAAACAGGGAGATTCTTTCCTGGAAAATCCTGGCAGCCGCTAACCAGCTCTTGCTTTTGCAGAAACTGTGGTGGGGCCCAGAACAAGCTGGTTTGGGGAAGTTGACCACGGCTGCTTTGTCTCCTAGGAGAGAAGATATTCCTACAGGGTGGTCTGGCCTCTTTAAGAGGGAAGAAAAAAAAGTTACATGGACAAAGAAAAAAAAATACAGCAACACAAACCAACAAAAAAAAAATGCCAGGAATGCAAGCTCTGCCAACCAAGTAAATAAATAAAATGTGAGATATTTTATAATAACTGGACAAGACATATTTCTCAACCAAGCAAGATGGAAAAAAACTTTACATTTCCCCCAAAACTCTGCAAATGTCCCCATTGTCTTTGGACTTGGAAGAGTTCCTGCTCTGAGGTATCACTGACGGGCTCTATCACCCAGAGGAAGACACCAGCCTCTGGACCGTGCACAGCAGCAGTTGGGCCTCCCAGATGCTCTGCCTCGCCATACCTGCTGTCTATAGCTCAGAGCACAGCTGCTCAGGTGAGATGTCAGGCCAGGAAATCTTGTTCTCTACTCTACCTTCCTCCCCAACTGGTAGATTTGGGGCACATATATACAGCACCCTCCAGATTCCCTACCAAACTTGCCAAGGTCTTCTGAAAGCGCTACACTAGTCAACGTTTCTGTTGACTTGCTTTTTCATTAACTGCTCAACAGACTCCATGACCGGTCTGGCACTGAGTTAAGATTTTCCACATTTTCGGGTTTCATCTTCATCCAAGGATTAATACACTCATTTCACACATGCAGGAGCTGGAGCACAGGGAGATTAAGTAGTCTGCCCAAAGTCACACAGCTACTAACTGGGGATTCACACCCAGACAAGCTGGCTCCACAGTCCCTGTCTAAACCACTGGGCTATTTAGTCACTAACTGTGTGGTAAGAGGGATCTAGAACCACGGTGAGCAAGTGATCTAAAAGGCCCAGAACTCTCCCCTTTCTGGCTTCCAGTGACACAAAGACTGTCCCAAACTAAGAAGCACTTGCTTCTTCCTATCTCGAAGAACTGTAACAGTCCCCAGGGGATGGATATCCTCAAAGAGAGATGGAAGTAGGGGCTGAACCTTTTAAGTCTTAGAAATGGGCAAACAGCCAGGATGAAAACTGTTCCTCTATGGCCGCTGTCTTCTCCTCCCTATAAAGGTGGAGTGGAACAGGAGGGAGGGGAATAATGAAGCAGCATCTGCTCCCACACCCTGCTGTCATAGCCTCATCCACTGTTCAGGAAGGAACCAGGAACAAGTCAACACTACCTTTGGTTTAAACCTATATCAGGCCCGAGAGAAGTGTGCAATGAAATAGTATGCCCCGCTTTACACTTACAAGGGAAATCGAATGCCAGTGTTATTTTAAAGTATATATTAACTTGACATTTGATGCAGTCAAAAATCCTGTCAGACCTCAACATAAAGCCAAAGTGAATAAAAGTTCTCGGTAAAGTCCTAGCCACAGAGAGGCTGACAGGTATCCCAGTTCCTCTATCTCCAGTTTCAACCCTCAGACTGCCCACTGCATCTCTTTGAATCTAGGAATCTGCGAAGGGGAGGGGAAGGAAGTTCTGGTTTAATCTTCGAGGTAACATCACACCCCACACTTGTCTCCACACATAAGAAACTAAACAATATAACGGAAAAAAAAAAAACAATAATCACGAAGGTCACAGTCCTGGATGCAAAGCCATGCAACTTAGACACAGGTGGCCTATGAGTCTGCTGGACCAGGTAAAGCTGCACCTAATATCTTATCCTTCTACTCGTGAAAGCTGGCATTCCTGGCTGGGGTTTCTTCCATCTCTGCAACCCGAAAATTTAAGTCTCCATTGAAGTTTCTCTGTTGCACTTCCCAAAGAAAACCTGCAGTATTACTCAGTGTCTGTACGCTGACAAGTCAGAAATAGGGACTCATTTCTCTTCGGCCACTGGCTCTATGGAGAATGTTGCCTAAGTGGCTTAACTGTTCTGTGCCTCTACCTCCCCATCTGAGGGAAGGACGTAATATTTACATAAATGCAACTACAACCCAGAAAAAAATTATAATGATCAACAAATTATTGTTATTCATTTTCTCTAAGAAAGTACCAGAAAAAAAAAATCTCATCATAGTAAATAGCACAAGACTCCGGATTTCCTGGACCCAAAGGAAATTTTGTTGCTTTGTTGCATTGCATTGACATTCACTTTTAAAACCTGGTCGGTGGCTTGGAAGCTTTTTATTTTTAGTTTTAGTTTTATTTTTTGAAAATGGATTTTACTGTATGGCTCAAGTTGGTTTTAAATGCACCATGTAGTTCAGGTTCACTTCCAACTTGCATTCCTTGAACACTTTTTCTGATGAGAAAAAGCCAGTGTAAAGACACTGTGTATGACATTAGGCCTGCCCAGATCTATTTTACTGGTGGGACAGCTCAATAAAATTACTTGCCCCACAATTTATTTTTATCAATAACTGAAGTAATAGCATCAAATGCTTTAAAATCTCAAATATTTAATATTGAATTACCAAAAAAAAACATGCTTCAGCTGTTTGCTATGATCTGAAACACGTGCTGCAAGGGGCTCTCACTTGCGACAGGTATGTGAACTAACATAATATACGTGATGTTTCCCAGATGCCCAAATCTGTCTCTTCCCCATAAACACACACTGCACATATAAACAAGCCATCCTTAAGGAAAGGGCCTATTAGTTGAGTTTATATCTTCGCTGGGAACCATCCTTTCACTTCTGCTATATATGGTTTCAATCAATTGTAACACAGAGAACTTCTGGCTCCCTTGAACACTCAAAAACAACCTTGAGAGCATCGTTTCTACCTGTAGCTCTAAGTGCCTGAGAAGTCTCCACTGGCCCAGGAAAGGCCTCAGCACGGTTCTGACTGTCATCACACTGTGACAAGACACAAGCCCAGCTTTTATACAGAGTCAGCTCTGTGATGAATGTCAGGAGAGTCGGGAAAGGGGGGGACGAGGGATGGGACCCAAATGTCCTTATTAACATTTTGCAGCATGTCAGAATGTCAAAACCTCATTTTGGCTTGTTTGTTTGAAAGTTTAAAGAAAGGGTTAAAATACAGAGTTCACTCCTGCAGAGAAAAAGGTTAGGGAACAGCAACTAAACTTACTGATAATTGGACCCAATAGAGGTTTGCTTTGTGACAGCTGATTAGTTCCCAAAATGCATCCCCTTCTCCTTGTATCGTTCTATATCCTTTCACCTCCAAAGTTGCTCTTCTTTGAGGCCAGCTGCAGGCTCCCTATCCTAAGAGGAGGCACAACTCCCTATCAAACTGCGCTAGTTTCGGAGATCCTGAAGAGTTGACTCCATCTGTTGAGCACTAAAATTTCCTTCTAAGACAGAATTCAGTGTCTTTACTATCCCTCTCTTCTTTAAGTCCTTTAAGCCTTCTAAATGAAACCATGAACCAACGACACTAAGTCACATCTGGTGTTGGGATGCTTTCCTGCTTCTAGGACCTTTGGTACCAGACGACAAAACACGGCAGAGAAAGCCAGTAAAGTTAGTAACCTACATGAATCCCCAAATTAAACAGATTCATTTCATTTCTCCTCCCGGTACCTCCTCAACCTAGCAAAGAGGACCCTAAGGAACCTGTGACAGAGGCGCTCAGGACTCAAGAGTGCTGGAAATGTGCTTGAAGGCCAGGCAGTTCGCCAGACACCCTTTCAGCACTCCGCAGAGCCCTCCCATTAAGCTCCATTCTGGGGAGACACGGAGTTAGGGGGTGACCTGAGAGGCAGTGTCAGCCCCCCTAGCTAACGTGAAGGTTCTCGCTTATGTGTGAAAATTGAAACACCAGAATTAAGACGCTGGAAATTCTATAAGTTTCTTCCCATTAGTCACAAAAAAAAAAAGCAGCTGTGAAAATAAATACCGCCCCCCCCCCCAAAAAAAAAACAAGGGTCTCGGGCCACCAACAGTCAGTCGTCCTGGCCTCTGCATCCTTGGCTCCTGAGGGAGCGCAGCGCAACCCAGAGGAGAAGTGGAAGGGACCCAGAGCTGGGGTGGGGGCCTTGATGTCGCCACTCACCCGGGGAGGGGAAAAGCTCCAAATCCACTTTTTCTGTCTTGATGATGGTGAGAGTCGGCTTGAGATCGACGGCCGCCTTCATGGTGCCGGGAGTTGAGGGGGCCGGCGGGATGAGAGCAAGTTTGTTGTAAATGTTTTGCTTTTTAATGGGGATTTTGAACCCTGGGGGGAAGAGGACAGGGCGAAGCCGACTTTCTTCCCTAAAATCTCAAATTCCCGCTGACTGCCTGCCCTACGGGAAGGTGCACACCCAGCCCGTCAGCACGAAGTTGGCACTTGGCTGAGCAGAGAGCGCGCTCGGGTCCCAGCCTCGCCCGCGCCTCGCTCGCCCGCGCCTCACTCGCCCGCCCGCCCGCTCGCTCGCTCCTCCGTCCCCGGCGCTCGCTCTGCTGGCCAGTGCTGGCGCTGTGCAGCTCGCCTCCGCTTTAGGGCGTTCCTCCTGGAGCCCAGGCCCAGGGTCCCGTGTCTGCCCTGCCCACTCCGCGGGGCGGCGGGGGCGGGGCCTAGCTCCCGCAGCCAATTACCGCCGGCCTCCCAAAAGCGAAAGGAAGGGCGGGCGCGCCGGACCCGGACCCCGCAACGCTGCGCAGCCCCGGCTACTCGGGTCGCTGGACAAGGGCCTCGGGCCACTTCTGGTGAGAAAGGCGAGCGCGGGTAGCTGGCGTGCAGGGGCTGCTGCCACGGTCTCGGGAAAGTCCGTCTGATTCTGCACGCATTCTTGAGGGCTTGGTCACCGCTGCGGCCCGCTCCGGTAGCAGCATAGTTTTCCAAGTGCGTGTACATCATTCATTCACAAAGCTTGACACACAGGACGTGAGGCTTGCTTGGGTACGCACCGAGGGGCGCGTGCGGGGGATTCCACACCGGGTGTTCTGGGAGGCCTCCAGCCGAGACATGACTCAGAATCCCACCCTTGGGATGGTTAAGTGACAAGGGTAGCCAGCATCGGTGAACGGAAAACCTTAACCAGCTTCCCTAGCTCAGAACCAAGTCAATCGGAGACCCCCAGAACTCAAGCCCCAAAGCTCCTGGATTAAACGGGGAGTCCAGAACCCATAACTAGTTCTTCCGCTCTATTAGAAAAAAGTTCCAATATCCTTTTCTACATCACCACATCCACCAGCACTCTGGTGTGAATCTGTGGGGCTAGCCCAGAGAATCACGGTGCACGTCGTTGTCATATTTGGGAATTCCCGAGGCTCCAGATAAAAAGGCGAGCCAGGATAATCCATAGGTTACATACATACATCAACAAATTACCCAGGACATGGTAGCGCATGTGTAGCTGGAGCAAGGCACTGACATCTACCTTTGATTAAAAGACAGCATAAATCTTCCTGAGCAGCCTCAGGGAAGGCTATTCTTGGTACTGTTTCCTGATTTCTAAGCATGTGATGAACTAACTCCCACTCCATGTCTGCAACTGTTAACTTCTGCTCTAGGAAATTCCATCACACCTGCTAACTTTCATCTAGGCATGTTGGGGGGGGGGGGCTTTTTGTTGTTGTTGTTGTTTGTTTTACCCCCTTTGGGCTTTAGCAGTGTACAGGATTCCCAAAGCAAATCAGGTTGAAGAAACAGTAATAGAGTGTCAGTCTTTGGGTCCTGGTCCAACCTCCGGGCTCCACCCTTCTTTGGTCACCAGAGAAAAATATGTGTATGTGATAATCCTCTTTTTTTTTTTTAAAGAACAAAGACTGTTTGCAGTCCAGCTGTGTTTCTGCAAGGTATGAGAAAACAATGCTGGCCTCCAGATGACAAGAACAGACACTTTGGATCCTGGGAAAAGCTTAGGGAACCAGCTGATGAATGGATTGTACATCCACATGCCAAACAAGCAGCAAGGGACAGAATCTTGAGCTGGTCCTGAGTTACTATGACATCTGGAGAACTGAACAAGTGAACAGATTCTTAGGGGAATTTCATTTTGTTGTTTGGTCTTAGGAAAATGCTGGAGAGTTCTACTCTATTTGCAAAAGCAGCTTGCTCAGAATCACTCCTTTTCTCTCCCTCCCATGGGTCACACCTCTCTTCCTCTACTAAACTAGTGTCTAGTTACACCACTGCTTACATGCTTGCATGTGAGACACTTAAGCCACCAACAAGATAGCGCTGTAGACATTTTCTGCCCTGGCAACAGGGAGGGAATGTATTCCTTGTAAACCTTGCACAGTGCCCGTCTATTTGTAGATCTTCCTGTTCCCCTCCCTGTCCCAAAGTGCAGGAGCTCAAATGTGCTAATGTCCAGACCAGAAAGTAGGTTGGGATGATACTGATGGCAAATGTTCCCAACGTCACTAGTCCTGTGAAGAGCCCAGGATCTGGCTGAAACGCCCTGTAGGATGAAAAGCACTGAGAGAGAACCAGTTAAGACAGTTTTACATGTTTGGGACATTAATAATCCAAGGACAGTAGCTCACTTAATTAATGTTTGACAAATGGAATTGGTATTCTCTTTATAACACAAGTAGATTTTTCCCCCAAACTACATTTTACATACATCATATATCTTCTTTATACCTGAGCACACTGTTTCAAGACTGATGGTTTTTAAAGCACCTGGCAGGGACAGGGTGGGGGGAAAGAATGGGGGGGGGGGGGGTAAGTAATATCTCTTTTGAGTTTGCTTCCTACTGGGGAGAGAACTGATTTGTATCTTTAAAAACCCTCAGAGTCTAGCAAATTACATCTGACCAAAGGTTGGGACTCTGGAGAATAGGGATATTGAGTCCAAAAAGGCATGAATGGTATCCAGACAGGAGTCACCTTTATACAGGGATGTCCTCACCACAAGGAGCATCGAGCAAAAAATAATCTCCCTTCATTCTTCCCTCAATCCTGCCTCAGACTCAGTAAGTATATAAAAATGCATTTAATTTCAAAGACTTCTGGAAGCTCCTGCCTTCCTCTGCAGAAGTGTGCTAGAATTCTCTGCCTTCTGAACCTTTAAAAATAGGCCTCTCTGAAGGGAGCACAAAAACATTCGACCACTAACAACTGATCCCAAGCGAGTTCATGACTCACAGAGGCTGACTTACTGGTAGAAATGTAAGGTGTTTTTTTTTTTTTTTTTAAACAAGCTCTCAAGATCTCAGTTAGCAACCTGTCTAAGCTGCACTTGTGGTCTCCTTTCAGGCTGAGAAAAGCCAACAGGCCCTGTCATACCCCGAAAAACACGTCAGAAACTTAACTCTCTACCAAGCGGTTTCTTTTTGGTGCAAAGTATGGGGGGGGGGGTGGAGTAAAGAAAAAAACTGCCCCAGGCTTCAATATCTACCATTTAAGCAGCAATAAAATGGAAAGTTGGAGATAAGCAGGAAATTAAAATAACTATCAATTAAAGTGTAATCCCAAAAGGCCTCAGGGTCAGTTTAGGAACTAAGCCAGGGACTCAGAAGGTGGTGTGGCTGAGAGCAGGCTGGCTCTGTGACCTCACCAAGGCCACTTAACCTTTCTGGTGTCACAACCTCGTCTCTGCTTCAGGGAATAAAACCACCCCTGGATCTTTCTAGCATGGAATACACTCATTAGCTATTGTTCGAGTAATACAATAAACAATGGACCATATGAGAGCCGCAGTTGTTTGGCAGAAAGGGAGGAGGGTGGGGAGGACTGAAGGCCCATTCCGCCCAGAAAACTCTGTAATAAACAGAGATACTGAGCAGCAAGGGTTCAGAAGTGAGATTCAGATTTTTAACTTAACCAACTTGCTCTTACTAAGTTACTAAGGTAAACCACTTAGTCCTGAAACTCACTCAGGCTCCCATGTTTGAAGCGGGGAAAATAATAGCACCCACCTTTCAAGATTATCTCTTTGCTTTAAATAATACCATATGTGCACAAAACTTCAGCAGAATGTCTAAAGTAGGAAAGTGTTCAATTAACTTCAGACCCCGAGTTAGGGAGACTAGCAGTTTAAATCTGTCTCCCTGGACAACTCTGTGGAGTGGAGTAGAACCTCAGTTAACTGAGAGCTCAGATAACTATCATGACGAATTTTAAAATCCAGTCCCCTTCCATGATCCTTGAACAGGGAACTACCTGGCCTTGCTTGAGACTTTCCAGCACTGACTGAGGAAGAAAAAAACATGAATTTGTATTTGTTCTAAAAGTGAGGCGGAAAGGTACTATTCTAGATCATACTGGAGGCAAAACCTTGCCCTTTCTCACCACATGGTGAGAGATGGAAGCCTGTTAGTGACATCCAAGTACAGCCCTCCTAGCCAGTGGAGGATATAAATGAGCTTACTCTTGTCAAACAAAAGCCCAACCCTATGTGCGTCTGAACAGGTAGGTGACCAAGCACTGTTCCCAGAAATCCAGCAGGAATCTGTGCTGTTTTCGGCAAGTACATTGCAGACTAAGCACCCTCGTTCCCTGTGGGAGATAGCTTGGCATGGGCTAGGAGGAGAAAGGGGGTCTGGCTTGGCTCTATTGCTGTCTGCAGTCTCTTAGGCTATAATTATGAGCCATTCAACTGCATCTGCAGCCCCAACAATGTGGGATGGATTGGCCTAATCCACAGACCAAGCGACATTTTAAATCCATCAGTTTAGACATCACGTATTCTTCTCAGAGCAAATCAGACTTGGCACAGACAGCAAAAGGAGAGGCACTGCCAATCAAAACTGCAGAGCTTGGGGGCCTTCTTCACACCCAGGGTCAGTGTGCTTCTCCTTAATCTCACTGAATGTCTTTCTCAGGATCGCTGCTGCTTTCCAAGCCAGGAGAATGTAGAATGTGACTGCCCTATGAGCCTACGGGGATCTTATAATTTGGATCCCAATTTAAGTTGTTCTAAATTAGATTAGTGAGGAGATGGGGGATGAGGGCATTGGCATAGATGGCAAGAGAACTGGGTTCTCGAATAACATCACAGAAGCCCCTAGCAACAGGCTTTTACCCCATGGCAACAAGATTATATCCTACCCCAAGAGTTTCAGGTGGTTTTGTCCTAGCAGAAGGTTACAACCTTCCCCTGATCTTGCCCGGTTTTTCTTTTAGATTATAAAGACAGTGCCAAACTTCAAGACGGGTTTTTCTGTATGCATGGCTTGAACTTTACATTCAAATAATTTCACTGTGAAATCTTTTCCCTTCCCTTAACTCACTTTCATTTTTAAATTCAAAGTCAGTCCACCCAAAAGACTTTACATGTACCACTCTGGAGACGAAGGAGCAGAGATGAAGTGATGGATTCATTTATCCATTCTGCATTTGGAGTTGAGAGTCAAACAAAGGAGACTAGGAGAAAACAGCCCTGCCAGGGGAGACTGTAAAGGAATAGAAGGGGGCTCCTCTGGAAACAACAGAGGGCATGATAGAAGTCAAAAGCACAGTGGCTGTCTGTCCTTGAGTCTCCAAGAATCTACAATGAAATTAGGACCTGATAATGAACCCAGGACTTTCAC